ACAAAAATTGTTGATCAAAACAGAGAAGTTAAATTAATAACCCAGACACAAAGTATTAATATGTGTTTGTAGTAAACAACAGTAAGAACATCATATATCATTGGAATTACCATGGAAAAATGTGGCATATTATTTAGGATTGAAAGAGTTAAAGGAGTTCATGTAACAAAACGTTCTCCAAGTGACTCCCTCATTTCACCTAGGGCTTAGAATGTGTCTTCTTCTTGTCTTAGTAGTTCTTCTTCTTCTTTGCAGTCACCACCGGCTGTAAACTCCAGCAGGCTATTCTTGTTATTGGTCCACTCCTGGACTTTGGTCTTGATCTGGGACTGTAATTTTGACAGATCTGGCCTAGTAGTAATGCAGTCTGTTGGTTCCGCACTTCTCAGGCAGAAGCACTATAACTTCAAAGGAAAACCCCTAATTAGTTTACTCTTACCGAATGCCTTTTGGGGGAAGAAAAAAGGGGGAGGGGGATGAGGAGTCAGTGGAAGTATTCTTAGTAGTTGAGACAAAAACTTCAGTTGAAAAGTTTGGTTGTAAGACTGCATGTTTTCTCCCCTTTCACCTTCACTGAGCTTTATAGTCACACTCAATGTTGGTGAAATTTCCTGAAATCTTTTGCCCAGAGAAGCTGGGCCTAATTTCTCGTAAATATCATTTTTTTCCGACTTGTCTATAGGGACCTGTTTATGGGATGCAGTTAATGCTATTGGCTGTTTTTGTACCTGTGCAAAAGTTTTTAAGTTGTCAGTATATGAATACATTAGCATTTGAGGGGAGGGGGGTTGTCCCTCTGAGCCAAAAACACTTTTTAAAAGCCAATCTGATGCCAAATTCTCTTGTCAGCCTCAGTGATAAAGTAATCGAACAAGCCATATGATACATATGTTTTGTATACTCCAGGTAATGTATTCTTTTCAATGCTTTCCCCTGTTTGTTTTATTGATTACTACCTTCAAATATCTCTATAAATTTATAAAATGTGGATAAATAACGTTTTAGCAAATTTTTTTCTGACCTGCATAAACTTTAGTTTTTGCTAAAGATATTTTCTCAAATTTCAAAGAGGTCATGGTTTAAAAAAAAAAAAGTGTTCTTAGAGCAAGAGGGTTAACTCAACTGCAGTAATGCCTATTTGCAACAATTAATAAGTTTGCTGCTTAAAAATTCCACTCCTGGTTGAATATAAGCATATCTCAAACCGCTGCCTACGAGATTTGCTTAACTGGCGTATTCTGGAGCATTCTGACGACTAGCTGCTTCTTTGTGTGTGTGTGATCGCTTGCTTGATTAACACTGACACATGGGTTCTTATCATAAAACTGACCGTTTTTTGGAGGTCTCCGTTTTTTGGAGGTCTTCTTTAGCTACACACAGCTATGAGTCTAACTGCTCATTTCTTCTCAGTCGTTACCATCTTAATTTTCTTCAGACATTTTCATAACTGAGGATGGCGTTTGAAACTGGTGTTGTCTATTACATCATGAGATTCTTTCCCATGCTATTAAACTGTCACTTCGCTCATTCCTATCTTCTAGGTCACAGCCAGACCACTAATACTTTCATCCAGTATAGGGGACGAGGCATGGCAGAATGTTTAGCTTCGATGTTATTTTTGTTTTCAACAGCGCTTTGCTAATGCAGTTTCCACATATGGATGGTAGTTTACGGTTTCACTGCCTAAGCTACCAAGTTTAGCGCTTGGTGCAGCCCTGTGAGCTGTGTTTTTCATGTGGACTGCCTTTAATTTACGCAGCGGTTTAGACGTGGTATTCAATATAGTCGGTTAATGTGTGCGTTGATGAAATAGCTACATGTGCATAGCCAACTTATCGTGCTTGACTATTTCCATCAATGACAGACTGCATTTCTGATGGCGACTGTTGGCTTTGCTGCCTCTGGCCAGTGCCATATGCATTTACTGCATGCGCATATTTCTTGATTGTTCCGGCGCTAACTGTTTTGATCACCAGTTTTTTTTTTTTCAAATGGGATAGTGACTGACCTTTTATTTGATTTTTACTGGAATAGAAACAGAGCAAATATGGTGTTGACCTGATTGCAATGAAGTTGAAACCTCAACTACAACTAAGACTAAATCTGTCATTGTCTACTTTTCGCACAGAAGTTCCAGAGTACTGCCATCATTTAAAATGTCTTGTACTGGTCCAAGCCCTAGTCTGACATGATAAAATACATCACATCCTGCACTGTGCTATCTGCTGCTGGTTCATCTGTCATAAACAGATATCCTGAGATCTGACCCAAACTTTCACTAACAGCACTATCTGAGACATTCCAAACAAATGTAACAAATCCTGCAATTAGCCAATTCAAAATTGTTACCTTCTCTTCCGTATTTGTTCTTTCCCGGAGCATAAAATGATGTGTTCACCTAATATATTTGTCTTTACTTTTGTCAACTTTTGAAGCTCATGCCCTGCCCTTTCTTCCATGTGTATTTTAGTCTCCCTCAAAGTCTTCTGCCCTGTGGATTCCAGTGCAAGTTATTCTAGGAATTCTATTATCATATATTCTCAATGTGTTTTCTATCCAGCTTCAGTAACTGTTATTTTCCCTTTGAATAACAGGAATAAAGCTTTATCTCTCCTTATAATGTCATCATCATGTGCTGTGCCGGTAGTGTAAGCTGCTATGTTCGCCTCTCACATGATCACCAGAATCAGGGATCAGTTCAACGTTTTGGTCTCGCCCCATCCATGTGGCCAAGCCATTGAGATATTTATCTGTCTTCTGCTTGCTCTCCTTCCACCAATCTTACCAGTAGACACTGACTGTCCACGTCTAATTGCCGTAACAACTTTTATTTGTCTCCATGAGGACTGCTCAGTTGGTTTAGCTATCCCTCTGTGATATTCTTATCTGCTTTTTGTCCATATATCACACGCATATAACAACACAGGTTCTACATGGCATTTTAACCCTCTTTTTCTCACCACAGTGGGCATCTTCTTATTGGTGAGAATCTTTTGCATTTGGCTAAAGGCCGCTTTTGGAAATTCTTGAGTGTGTGCATCAGAGATTATCACGAATTTTCATTTTATATCTACTGATGTTGGCGCCTTTCCAAGAGAATAGTGTTATTTTGTGCAACAAGAAGGCATGAGAATCACAGCCACGGAGAGACTGACTATTAAGACCAGCTCACACAAAGTAAAGTATCCTGCAATTAGAGTATGAGATTTCAGGACCAATGTTTCCATTACATGTAATTAACGCATCCTCTGGTAAGCAAATGAGACTACATAACATGATCATCCATGCTTATTAGCACGGCTCATCATCATAGCGATTCATTACACCAAGACATCGTTTATAAGATTACCCAATATTTCCTTATATTTTTCATTAAATAAATGCATGGTAATCATTTCAAAAATATTTCAAGTTATGTATTACTTTAATTGACTACATCAGCCATAGATAAAATCAGACTTCCCTATCAAGCCACATACCAGAAAACAGGGAACACCCCTGAAAGACAATCATCAGGAAAGGCTCAACCATGGACCTAATGAACATCCAAGACCTAAAACAGGTGGCAATGAACCGCCAGACATGGAGAGCTATGACCTCTGCCCTATGCTCAAGAAGAAACACTAACTAACTAACTAACCACTTTAATTTCTAATGAATTTCCTATCTTCTAATGCCAGAAAAGCTCCTTTTGTATTTTCCAACTCCACTTTCTCTGAAGTGTTGTCTATATTGTTCGTACTATTTATTACTGACTCTTTATTAATCAAATACTATGTATATATATAACCCAAATAACATTTTAATGCCGACACACACTTAAAGCTGATGCATTATAAAAAACAGGGAATGTTATGGATTGTTTATAAAGTAAATGTAATCAGGCAACTCGAAAAGGTGCAAAATGAAGCCATGCGCATTATTTTGGGATGTACAAGAGACACATCCTGTGAAGCAATGAGGTATCTACTTGACTTTCCAACAATGAACCAAAGGATCAGAATGTGGAGGGCACGGGCAAACCTCAAAATATGTGCTGATAAGAAACACCCACTGCATCAAGCGCTTTTTAGTGAAAAGGGCGACAGACTGAAGAGGGGAAAATCGTGGCTAGGTCGGGCAGAAGATGTTATTAGGCAAATATGCAGCCTAACCGACATCATACCTGGTGCAGAATGGATACCTGTGCCTCAGGCGTTTATTTGTACATTTTCCTGTATTGTCACACTCAACAGGCGATGTAGAGAAGAGAATCCTGTAGCTGTTAATGCAGAGGTCAACGCTCTCATCGGTGAAAATTCAGACGAAGCAGATGCACTAATCTACACAGACGGATCCGTTATACGCCAAAGAAGAAGCGCATGGGCATTTACAGCACGCTCAGCGGGCAGAACAGTCAAAGAAGCCAACGGTGCCTTCTCCATGACAACCAGCAGCATGACGATGGAGGTGATGGCAGTGACGCAAGCGTTTGCCTGGCTTGAAACACAAAAATACACCCGCATATGTATACTCAGTGATTCAATGAGTATACATTGAGGCAGGTTCAGTGCGAAGACAATGGCTTGAATCATTACAGAAGTCCACTGTGCGTGGAGTCACCTTTATTTTTGTTCCGGGACACGCAGGCGTCGATGGAAATGAAAGAGCTGACAGGTTGGCTGGATCCGCTATCACTACCGACGGTCGGCCTATGGATCATGCTGATATTATCAATGCCCTCAGAGAAATGGGAAGGATAGAGGACTTTGGTGGCAGTGAATCCACATCACTCGCCAGAATGGCAGACTTGGGAATTAAGATCGGCACAGCAAAAAACGAGACGCACACCGGACACGTCAGAAGACTTGTTAATCAACATAGAACTGGTACTATTAGCCATCGGACGTTGGGGTTCATACTGAGGGGAGGATCTGAGCACCTATGGACATGTCCGGAGTGCAATGACGATAACCCAACTAACTAACTAACTAACTAACTAATGTAATCAGGCAACTCACCTTTTCTGTGACCGCAAACTGATATGTGTTCATATTTGTGCTGTATGTTCTTATTTCAGTTGGGACTATCTGCATAAAATACTGGAACGAATGGTGGCCTGTAAACGTATGGTGCAGACACCAAGGTTTGTCAATTATAAAACAAAATACTGTGAAAAGAAAATATTAAAAATAATACTTTATAATTGACCTAAAAAAAATCAATGTCCACACATCTGGCGCCTCATTTTAATGGAAAAAAAAGGAACAGGCCACCGCCTCCCCTAACAAGCATGCTGTAAAAGGCAACTATTTAGGTCTGTCTCCTTCAAAGTGGGAGAACACATGGCCAAGATCCGAGGAACCATCAGTCTGCATATATAAAAGTCAGATCGCTAAACAAAATGGCATGGAAAACTCAAGTTCTGGAACAAAACTGATGTCCAGAAGAGGAAGAGCATCCAGAACTTTCTGCCAGAGTTGACAGCCAGTGAACACTAGGAAGAAGAATTTAACTAAATCAATGTTATCCTGCACCTATGTGTTTCCACTAGGGCTGTACCGAATAGTGATTTTCACTATTCGGCCGAATACGAATAGCTGGACCAACTATTCGGCCAAATACGAATACGAATAGTGAATCATCATCATCATGTACTTTACCGGCTGGCATGGGCGATTATGCCTCGCCACAATCTGCGATCTCCTGCAGCACGTATTAGTTCGTGTGCTGACACACCTCCATGAAAAACCTTCGTTCCATGTTGTCAGCATTAGGCCAGCTTTTTGTCTCACTGAAGGTATTTCCAGCTGTACTAAACAGGAAAATACGACAAATACAGAGAGTCAAAATGAAAACCCGCAAGGCGAAACATCAAAAACAAAAATAACGCCGACGAAGAAAACAATGCCGTCCTTACAAGTCGTCCAGCCCCCCGCGAGCTCACGAAACCAGACGCGGGGCCAACGCGGCCAACGCCAGAAAGATCAAAACAACTGCCGTTTCCACGAGACGACGAAAGAACAGATATGACACCCCATAAATAAGAAAACCGAATGTCGGTCCAAAACATTCAGCCGCTGCCATCATTTCCACGAGACGCTTCACGTATAAACCCAAGTGGGAAGTCTTGATGTTGTTTTTCCACCAGTCCAGAAACGGTTGTGAGGTAACCACTATTCATATTCGGCCCGACCGCAACTATTCGGCCGAATACCGAATAGTTATTGGGTCCACTATTCGGCCCCGAAGCGAATATTCGGTACAGCCCTAGTTTCCACCTCTGGGTTACCATGGTGACTGAGCACAGCAAAGCAGAGTGACAATGATCTATTTCTTCTTCTTCTTCTTCTGCATCTGACATTAAAACGGATGGCTAGCAGGCTGCATTATGGTTGACAGCTAGGTTATAATATCTGTAGACATTCAAAACAAGAAGTGAATAATGCCATAAAATAATAGTTTGTTTTAATGAAATAGGTTTGGGTGAGGATGATCTGTGGCAATAGAATGCACATGATCTTGGAAAGATGGTGTTGTGGATTCAACGCTCAGAAGCTTCTTAAGTAATACACAAAATAATAATAGATTTGAAAAAAAAAAGAGACTAAAACATAATTATCAAATTATCACATCTTCCAGTGAATACAGCTTGAAACTAGCACCCAAAAATATTCCAGGAAGTAAAGGCGGCTGGCGAGATACTGACCAGATCATCCATCAAGTGCTGATTGGTCTAACAAATATGGATCTAGCATCATGCACCTCATGTGTGAATGATAAAAGATGGATCTATTACTTTACTGCCTACTAGTGATACTTCTGATAAAATGGCAGATCAGGCATAGCAGGATGTTAAGTTATCAAAGTTATTTGTGCTTCTAACTGCCCCTTGCTAATGCAGTTTCCACATATGAATGGTAGTCTACGGTTTCGCTGCCTGAGTTTAGTGCTTGGTGCAGCCCTGTGAGCTGTGTTTTTCCTGTGAAATGCCTTTTATTTGTGTAAAGAGTGTGTTGTGGTATTCAATACAGCACGTAGACGGTTTACAAGTGAGCTGGTGAAATACCTTATGTAATAATTCTGTGTGTGTATAGCCACTTATCGTTCCTGACTACTTCCGTCAGTGACAAACTGCATTTCTGGTGGCGACTGTTTGGCTTTGGCACCTCTAGCAACTGCCATATGCATTTACTGCATGTGCATATTTCTGGATTGTTGGGGGACTAACTGTTTGTTCACCAGATTTTCAAATGACATTTCATTTGTTTATCACTGGCACAGGAACGAAGCAAGTAAAGAAGGGGTAACCCGATTGTGGTGATGTTGAAATCTAGACTACAACAATAAGACAAAGACCCCATGTATTTCAGAATATATTAAGCGGATTATCTATTTTAGTACAGCTCTCCTATGGATGGTGGATGGAAAAAGCAGACACAGAGAAAGGCAACAGAAAGGGGAAAAAAAATGTGTGCAAAATGACATGGGATATAACAGCCAGAAAAGGAACAGACCGTCAAAAGAGAGGATCACTTGCGAATGCCTTATGGATATGAAAAGGATAAAGATATATTTTAACAGAAAGAGCAGGTATCATGATTGAATTTTTCTACAGCCACAAACAATCTACTTACTATACGCAGTGACAATTTCTGTACCATCTAGAGGATAAATAATACCCCGTGCCTCATCTCCAATGGAAAAATGGTCAATTCTATGGCTAAAGTTGTAATCTGGAAAAGAAAAACAGCATTATTTTTTCAGTCCTTCACAGCTTTATTTCCATCATTCATTATCCTTATCATCATCAATCAGCCAGCCCTCTATAGACGTCACACCTGAAAGTATATTTTTAGTCATTTTTTCCAGCCCTAAAATCTTTAATAGCTAATGCACCTTCAATGTCTTGTATCCACATTCGCGGAGATCTGCCTCTACGTTGTTTTCTGGAAATTGTAAACCCCCCCACTTAGTCCTCTCCAGGCCACCATTTTGCTTCAGCCTCACAGAAATACCCAAGTTTTGCTTCAGCTTCAAAGAAATACCCAAGTTTTGCTTCAGCTTCACAGAAATACCCAAGTTTTGCTTCAGCTTCACAGAAATACCCAAGTTTTTCTTCAGCTTCAAAGAAATACCCAAGTTTTGCTTCAGCTTTACAGAAATACCCACGTTTTACTTCAGCATCAAAGAAATACCCAAGTTTTACTTCAGCTTCAAAGAAATACCCAAGTTTTGCTTCAGCGTCAAAGAAATACCTAAGTGTTGCATCAGCTTCACAGAAATACCTAAGTTTTGCATTAGCAACATAATGAAATTCAAATACCTACCTACTACATGATGATGAAATTAAGATACCTTTATTGTACACAAGATTTATTGTTTTAGGCCAAAATAATCTGAATTACATGTGAACAATAGACAGCTGCACTGTACCTACCTATGACATGATGATGATATTAAGATACCTGCCACCTGTTAATAAAATGCACCTGAGGAAATATACCTAGAGGAGAAAAGATGAAGTGGCTCTACCTGATACATCCATCATCATAGCCAGGTGGGCATGGCCTTTGGGAATCACTGGTATAGACCTGTTGGCGGAGGAAGAAAATCATTGAAACAACATCACTAACTCTACCTGCCTTCTATCCTCTCTCTAGAGTTAGAACATCCCATATTGCAAGCTGACTGAAATAAGGAAACAAGCCATTTCCACACACTTGGCAAGTTGTGCCAATCCGATATTTTTTAAAGACTAACTATTACTTGATTTGTTTAGGCTAGGGTCAACCTCGGAACTCAGGTCATTTGTTAAAATTTGCCTTGAAACACTCTTATCTATGATTACTAGGCCAGAGGGTAAATGGATAACCTTGTGATATAAATTATTATACCACAGGTCACTACATAATGAGACGAGGCGGTCAATTCCCTTCCTCTTAATGTTACTTCTAAATAAAAACATTCATAGGACACTATGAACAAATATCCAACACATATTGTGTGAAATGTGGTGGACTCCAGGACTGTACTGGTAGGAACATAAAATATGGGTTTTTTTAAAAGGAATTTTTCCCAAATATTCCTATAGGTTCATAAAATCACCAATGTGGAGCTTTAAGGATGAACTAAACAAACATCCCCGAAGACAGAAGTGGATATCCACTGCAGCTCAGACTTAGAAACACAACATACTCCACTCAATGGACATCTAAACAGAATACAGCCACAACACTCCCCAGAGTGCCAGATATGTAACTACCCCTACGAAACTGTTGAACACCATCTCTTTGAGTGCCCAAAACTCAGTGAGACAAGAAAAACGCTACTCCCTCCGAGACCAGACAAGTGGAACACCTTGTACGGAGGAAAAGAACAGCTTGTGAAAACATGCAAATTCTACTCCATGGCATTGGGCCAAAGGGCGAAAGCTCATGCGCCGCTGGATCGATAACAACAACAACAATCCACTGCAGCTAATCTCTACTGTGAAGAAGCAACCTTAAATTTTAGTGAATCAAAAGGTGAGGAAAAGATGCTGGCAATGGAATGGACATACACTGAGACAATTTTATAGTACAGTTAAAATGCCAACTCAATAGAACCGAGAAGGTCAAAGAAATCAAGGCAGACCAAAAATGGAGAACACTGGGTTCAGCTCCACACGCTGACAAATGGTAGGACCATTCGGCACTAGTCTGCTGAGGGCCTACGCTCCACTGAGAATAAAGGGAGAAGAACAAGAAAAATACATGTTAATTTGCAGTGTTACCGTATTTTTATTATAAAATATGACACTCTATGTATAAGATGACGTAAAACCCCCCCCCCCCCTTTCTTAAAAAACAAACAAACTAGAAATCATGGAATAAATATTTTAAACACATTCTGTCTTCGCATCTGTGGCTCAGGCATTGCCAACACTCTCTGTAATGGCAGGGTGCTGAGTTCAATCCCAGCTGCAGGGGATTTGGCAGCAAATGGCCACGTTGATTTCAACAGTAATATCAAGAGATGACCATTCACGAAGCAATGGCAAACTACCGAATGTAAATTTGCCTACAAAAACCACAACAACAAAATGCTGGGGTTGGTTTTGCAGCATCCTATAAAGGATACGCAACTAACTCTGTGTTTAAGATCATCCCCCAGTTTTAAACTTGAAAACTCTGGGAAAACACATTTTCTAAATGTGTAAAAAAATATGGTAATTCCTCTGTACTGTGCGTATAACAACATAGGATGATTGCAGTGACATACTTTCCTGCTGTGATGTGAAAGTTTCCAGCCACTTTATTTAACTCAAATGAACCATAGATGTTGCAAGAATCTGGCTCTTTCTTGGAACTGTGGGCCTTCCTGTTGGTTGAGAACAATGGGATAATGATAATGTTAAACATAATACAAACATAACTACCTGAGGTTTGCCTTACAGTCATCACGCTAAACCTGCTACTGCTCTCGGCAGTTTCGCTAGGTTCAAAGTGCAATAGGCAACCATGGCACTGTAGTGGCAAGACATCTATCTGCCAGCCCAATGGCCTTGGGTTTAAATCCACACTAGGTGGATTTGGTACCAGCAAAATGTCATGGGAAGTAAAGACAGCACACACACATCTATCATTATATTTAAGGCTGCACTACTTCTTCTTAAAGTCCATCCTGTGTGGCATTGGTAGTCATGTCTATCAACAACCTTCTGTCTCGTGAACTTTCAATCAACTTGGACACAGATGATTCTTCATGCCATGATGCCAAACTGTCCAGCATCTGTTCTCCTGGTCACCCTCCCCTCCAACTTTCCTACTGTTGTGATTTACTCCAGTTTTCTCCTTCTCATCACATGACCAAAGAATGTAGATTGCCCGTTTCTGATGTGGGCAATCAGTTCTCTTCATGAGTCAGTTTCAAGACGTCTACATTTCTCTTTTTATCTGACAAAGGTATTCTCATAATTCGTCTTTAAAACCACATCTCGTGCAGCTCCCAAATAAGTTTTCCTTAAATTACAGACTTCTGCAAATCAAGAAAGGATTTATACAGGTTTTAAGAATTCTCTTTCTTGTCTCAATTGAAAGATGGCATACACTATTCTTTAATTTGTAAAATGCTGCCTTTTATTGAGCTATTGGACATTTAACTTCTTTAATACATTTTCCATCTAATGTCATCAGGGTAACCAAGTACTTAAACATAATCAACTTTCAACAGGTTTGTTCCATTTACTTTGATATTGGGTTTTGGAATGTCAGTTTTCTTTGTCATTACCATTTAAGGCTGCACAGCTACATACTAATAATATCATTTCTATCCCCTAAATAAGACACAGAAAACTAGCAGGAATAATAAGCAAACAAGCACACATATTCACACAAATGAAGAAGTGGAAAATACAATGAAAACAGAAGCATCTACACATGTGCACACACAAAGTAAAACCTACAATATGAATCCACAAGAAAACATAACAACGAGGAAACTATAAACTACAGACAGGAAACATACTGAGGAAGAAAACACAGAAATTACAATTAAAATTAAGAAAGACAGCCTCAAATAAAATCAACAGAACTGTGACAGATTTCCATATTCTTCTTCGCTTCCTCCAGTTGTGTCAGCAGTGGTTTGGGGAAGATGTAAGGATCATCCGTCTTTTCTCATTTTAATGTTTTCTATAAGATGGTCTTTATTCCTCCAAGGTTGTTCTTGATGTACATATTCCGTCTTTTGCAAGGTATTTCCCTGTTCTGTGTTCATTATATTTCTTCAGCATGGCTCTCTGTGACAGTTGGTACCAGGGCAGTCTTGTCAGATGGTCATACCACCTTATCTTGAATGCATACACATCTCCCAAATGTTTCTTAGGCCTCACAAATGAATCTATTATCATCTCCTGTCTCTTGTAGATTAATCTTATACTTCATACTTCTCCTAAAGAACACTCATTACTATATTTGTGCACATTTTAGCACACATTTATACATAATCTAGGAAAACACTGTCTTCAAGTTATGTTTGCAAATGATGTTTGCTTCCCAATCTTCATCAGAACTCAACTGTATGTTTTAAAACAGACAAAATTTAAAAAAAGGGAAAAAAAAAGATAGAAATCATTAAAACATAAGTTGCAATTAAAAAAAAAAATTAAACCTTTTTGGAAACTTCGCTTTTAACTGTATATCTTTCGATTTCCACAAAATATCCTGCAAAGCGTGATACTGTTTGGTCAGATACTCATTGTGTTCTCGAAACATATTACGGTATTCCTCCTCATCTGGATTCAACTCCCAGAACACTGGCTCTTCTTGAAGCTGCCCAAAACTGAACACATCTTGTCCGGTCTGGTCTAGGACATCAGCACCAATATCTGTAACAAGATTTTCAGTTCCCATTTATTATGCAATATCTTCTGGACAAAATGTCCGTGAGGGTTCTGGAGTATCATTGCGAGGGGAAAAAGAAAAGACTCGTAGAAGAAGAAGAAGAAGCCCCTTAGCAAGCACGTCATAAAAAGCAACTAATTAACTTTGCTATAATCAGATATGTTGTCCCAATAGCACAGATTCTCCAGACTTGCTGTAAACCACCACAGAACATGCCAAACACTGTGAACGTTGTAGAAGATAATGCAGAATTAATAAGGTGTGCAAAGTTTACCATTCTGTCTCTGCACATTTGCCGGACACCTACAACTGTCACACAAGGCATGAACTCCCCCCTCCTCCACCTCAAATTATGGAAATAGATTAAACTTATCAAATGATTAAACTCCCTGTGTGGGTTCTGGTGCCTACGTTTATTGGAAACAGGGTAAAGACCCACTGATAACATCCCAAGCATGTCCTAAAAGTTGACTAACTAAAAGTGTTTCCTTCAACGTCAGAGTGCACCTGCATGAGAGGCAAGGAACCATCTGCATACAAACAGGCAAGCTCTGTTAAATGGACATGCATGCAAAACACAAATTCTGGAACAAGACTACAAAGTCCAAAAGTGGACGAATGACCAGAAATTTCCGCCAGAGTCTACATCCGGTGAACACAAAGAACAAGAGGAAGAAATGACTCAACAGTCTGAGAAAGAACCCATGACACTCAGAATATAAGCAAGCAGCCCTGACAACTTCATCTGTAAACTTCTACAAATGAGCTCTACCCAAAAAATTACCCCTACATTAAGTCACACAAATTAACTTCTTAAAATCATTAATAAAAAAAAAAGATTACAATCACACATATTAACACTATTAAAAATTATAAAAATTAACTTTATTTAAAACAATGCAAATCATCTTTACTAAAAATCACACACAATAACTCTATTTGTAAATCATCCAAATTCAATATCATCATCAAGCTCTTTGCCCACTGGCGCAGGTGGTAATGGCTTTCCACAATCTACATATATTACTTTGTGTTTTGACAACCCTATACGCCATGACAAAAGTCTCTCACAGATATGTCACACTGCCTTCTTCTACCCCTTTTTCTCACATAGTCTACATCAGTCCAATGACGGAGGGGTATCATCAGCAGAACACTGTGCTCCCAAACAGATGAGGTTATTTCACTGAACCTCCATTAACGTCATTATCTCGAGACAAGTCGTGTAAAGGCATGATTTACAAGGAAAAACATAGGAGTGGCTTCCCTTTGGCTTCCTACTGGTTTGTACATGGCTTGACTTCTTTGTTTGAACAAGCCAACTCTGCATGGCAGCGGGGTGGGAGTTATTATGGTGCCTCCTATCTGCCGATGGACATGTCACAGAGTTTTGATGTACTTTATACAGCTGGCTGTCCCACCAATTAATCTGCCTGCTCTCAATGACAACCATCAACACCACAAATTTACTTAGTCAAATTCATGGGATACCAGCAATATCGGCTAGTGGACATATTGCTAACAACCTGTGACATGATGATATAGTCTGGCTCCCTGAAAATGAAACACAACTGTAAGAAATGGACATAATTGTAACAGAAAGTCAAAACAAGGCTCTCAGTTTGAACAGCAGAAAAGCAGAAGTAATGGTAATTACAAGAAATGCAAAATTAATGTAAATGGGACAAAGCTCAAGCAAGTTGATATGTTTAGGTACCTGGGATCTGGATAACACCCGACTGAAGACATATTAAAGAAGTTAAGTGTAGAACAGCTCAAGCAAAGGCAGCATTTCACAACATGAAGAATATTTTATGCGACCTTTCTTTTTCTTAAAGGCTACACAAATCCAATCCTGATATATGGAAGAGAATCATGGACAGTTGGTAGATTGGTGAAAACTTATTTGGAAGCTTCGGGGATGTGGTTTTATAGACGAATTATGAGAATACCTTGGACAGATAAAAAGAATAATGAAGACGCCTTGAAAGAAACTGACTCATGAAGAGAACTGACTGCCCAAATCAGAAAGAGACAGTCTGCATTCTATGGTCATGTGATGAGAAGGAGAACAAGTGGAGTACGTTATGATGGCAGGAAAGTTGGAGGGGAGGAGAGGCAGAGGGAGTCTGAGAGAAAAGATGCTGGACTGTCTGACATCATGGCATGGAGGATCATCGTTTCAGAGTTGACTGAAAGTACATGAGACAGAAGGTTGAGGATACATATGACTACCAACGCCACATGGCATGGATTTATAAAATAAGATAATCAAATAAAAAAATTTTTTCACTCACGATGACATTTCATGGCTATTGTCATATCAATGTTGAGCTTGATTTTTCTGTTGGGAAGATAAAAAGATAAACTACCATCACAATAAGTCGCATAAGAAACAACATTCATTCTATTACTATCTGTTACAAAATCTCACAAGCCTTTCTCCTTGACTACTGAATAAATGTGACAGAATCAATTTTATTGCAAAGAACTGTACCCCATTTGGTTCAAGTCTCTTCCTTCAGAAAGTGGTTCTTCACATGGAAGCAACAAGTTCCCATTAACCAACCCTTCCACCCGAGAAAGGAAAGCCATTTTCTAGGCTTTGACAGAGTTCTGTTGGCATGATATCTTTGGACAGGGCCCAGTATGCCTGTATAACAGCTTTGCTACTGGCTGCAACTGCATAGCTTACAGACACAGAGGATTTGATTATAGTTTACCCCCCCCTCGTAAAAAAAATATTTGTGGGTGACAGAATAGCTTTTAAAATATTGTGAAGTCACAGTGGCATAATTTAATTTCATAATGGCGTCACATTGATCACTGTGGCAATGTGACCAAAACTACTTTTAATTGATCAAAGGGAAGGAAATCAGTTAATTCTTTGCTGTGTTTGTATTTAGTGACTACTTACTTCCCTTATGTAGAGATAGACCTTTTTATGATTGTACATTTAGTGACTATAATTTATTTTTTTGTATGTGACGTGACGTCATCAAAGATGCTCAGGACTTCAAACCTGCCTGTCTGTTCAGTGGTATATGGGTTTGACCCGCGGATAATTATACAAATTTACAATGTTTTCAAAATTCTTCTTCTTCTTTTAGTTTCTTTGGGCAGAATTTTAGAGATTTTAAAGGATGAGTTTTTTTTAAACAAAATTTGCAAAGAGGTAACTTTGAAGGATTTTTACAGTTTCTGTTTTTAGTGACTCAGTGAACTACATGTACTCCAAAACATTCCTTGACTGACTGACATGACAGCCTTCACTTCACTGCACAAGCTTTTACCTCACCGGGTTCAGACACTTTTCTTTGACCACTAAGTCAGTGACTGTCTAAAGTTAATCATATCTAAATGTTGAGAGGATCAGCTTCACTGTACCAGGTTTTATCTCATACGGCTTAGTCTTTTCTCCAGAAAATGACAACAGAGAATCACAAAATGTACTTCCTCCAACAATCCTTAAAGGTCTCTGTTTAAAACTGCCCTCATAAACTGAATGGCACAGTTCGTGAAGTGAACCCATATTCTGAATGAATGAATGAATCAATCATAAGTGACATCTTTGCACCCAGAATATTCCCACACATGCTCCATCTTCTTCATTACCAGCCAACGAAGAGTCAACATGCTAACAGTACCAGCTGCAATCTGACCAAAGGTCAGCCAATGGTTCTCCTTCTGTGCTGAATAACTTATAGAATGGCAGCATTCTGATAGCCAGAGCAGCACAGCGCACACTTTTGTAACTAACAGACTCATGTCGCATGCTTTGGAAAACTGAAACTGGTGTCCTTCCTATGCGTACAGAAACTTGCATCACTTGATAAAACTAATATTTCATGGAAATAATTAGGCCCCCCCCCCCCCCCCCCAATCTTCTTGTTGGACTCACCCAGTGATGTTGGTGTCAACCAGGTACTCAAACTGGAGCTCTGTGTCTGCATAGTATCTGATTTCTGACAAGATGAGAACTCCTATCAGCACAAATGTTATTAGTGACACTGAAAATAGAAAGAACGAACGAACAAATAAACTTTATTCTCAAAGGGTCAAAAATTGGGCACAAAGGTGCATCTTACAATCGGCCCTTCCAATCATCCATCTTTCTAACAGCAGTTGTATTTTACTAATAAAGCATGTTATGATCATATGACGATATGCAAATTATAAACAACAGCCTCAACATATTAACCAGCTGTCTGTTTCACATCTTTGAAATGTGCTTCTTCTTCTTTAGCCCTTAAAATGGCCGTCTGACACATTGTGTTCTGATGTACAGCTAGGCTGTGATATCTTGTGTCTTTCGGCCAAACACATCATATTTCAGCAAAATCTTAAGTAAGCGTTTTTTATGACATGCTGGTAATATGAGGCAGCAAATCTATAAATAACCCCCCCCCCCCCCCCCCAAATATTAAATAATCCAAAAGTGGTGTGGCGATTTTAAACACATGAGTGAGATAAAGATAAGGCCGTTGTGATGTGTATAAGAGTTATTCCGTCCCTGTCATGCGTCACGGATAATGGCTCACCTTTTTGACCTGAACTGAGCTGGCAGAAGATTTTGGAGTTAGCAACCTCTAGAGATCGAGTTTTATAGTTTGGCTCTCATCAGCCCACCTCCAGTGCATGGGTGAAAACATCTATCCAAACTCAGCTGGAACATGGGTAAAGTCTGCTAGCCAAATATATTAACTACTAAATGAAACCCTTGGTTAAAACGTCTGCCGAGTGGAAGATACTGAACTGAGATTCAAGAGATTTGCTTGCACTCTGGATAAGCAACATTTCTTTCAGGCAGTAACTCGCTGAACAGTCGTCTCTGAAATCCTTTGCAGTCCCTTAACATTGTTGCCACCACGCTGAGGTACACCATGACAAGCTGCCAGTGTCAGTCAGCTGATTTTGCACAAAAATCCGTCAGACACATGTTCTAGTGCACAGCAACAAAGTCTCAAATGTCTGACCACAAAAATTTTCTGTTTGGCATAAAGATTCAAATGTCCATTTTCATTTGTCTCACTCGCCAAAGTGTCAGGACCTGAAAGGGGAAAGCCATGCCAGATGCATGCTTTTGTCGTATTGTCTTAAGTTTCCAGATGAAACAAAGTTTAAGGTGTCTAATGTACCTATCTGAGTGGTCATCAAAGTGTGCTCCCTGCTGATTTCCAGAGGCAAAACACAATTACACCACTTGGATGAATGAAAAGAATAACCCAACATAAATGTATGTATGTATGTATGTATGTATGTATGTATGTATGTATGTATGTATGTATGTATGTATGTATGTATGTATGTATGTATGTATGTATGTATGTATTTATGCATGTATGTATGCATGTATGTATGTATGTATGTATGTATGTATGTATGTATGTATGTATGTATGTATGTATGTATGTATGTATGTATGTATGTATGTATGCATGCATGTATGTATGTATGCATGCATGTATGTATGCATGCATGTATGTATGCATGTATGTATGCATGTATGTATGCACGTATGTATGCACGTATGTATGCACGTATGTGTGTATGTGTGCATGTATGTATGTATTTATGTGTGCATGTGTGCATGTATGTATGTATGTATGTATGTATGTATGTATGTATGTACGTATGTACGTATGTATGTATGTATGTATGTATGTATGTATGTATGTATGTATGTATGTATGTATGTATGTATGTATGTATGTATGTATGTATATATTTAAATGACCTACATCCACCACTTGCTGCTGACGTCTCCTGATAATTCTCGGGAACCTTTGGAAAGGCATCCAGTTCCTTCACAACTTTGAGTGCCTGCTTTCGGTTGATTAATGTTGTGTTCAACATCTTGGAACTTGCTCAACACCTGACAACCTAGAATTTTGAAATGCAAGCATATGAAAATGAACATTTAAAGAGCACTGTTCAAAACAATATATTTACCAACACTATGCTATCAATGTCAACTGTCTTCAGAAGAGAGAAGGTAAGAAGTGAAAGGTTTATGCACTATGCTAGGTGTAACAAGGAAAGATCAACTTAAGAACGATGACATCAGGAGCAGAGTCGGCACAGAACCAGTACTGAACTTCATAGGTAGACAACAAATCAAATGATCTGGCCATCTAACAAGATTGGCATCAGACAGGGCAAAACAGAGAGCAATGTTATTCAGACACAGCGGTAATAGAGCTAGAGGTCGACCACACAGGTAACGGACTGCAGAAATATCAGAGGAACTGAAAAGTACTTTATACGAAGTGAACAGAATTGTCCGTTCCAGGAATATCTTCCTGCCCTGATACTGCGAGGTATTCCAGGAGTAGAGAAAATAAGAAGACCCTAGAATAACATATTTGTTTGCAGCCATTAACAGAAAACAGAATTTAACGGACAAGGGGACTGATTCCATTGCACTTAGCTGTGTCATACAGAAAATGGGCACTCTCTGCAGAGTGACTGGCTGTCAGGAAAGTGGGGGAACAAATTACAAATACTGTAGCTCCAGTGACAACCCCTGGGGATCTCCTAGGATCTCCTAAACACACTCGAGAAACAAACATGCCTAAACAGCTTAATCACGTCACCACCGAGACCCTTCATGCCTGCAACCATTAGCAAATATGTTAGATATTGATTTCCCCATGTGGATTCCGGGGCTTCATTGAGGAGAACACAAAATACACCCACCGTGCCCCTGACAAGCATGTCACAGAGGGCGAATAATTAGCGCTGTTCCCTGCAAATTTGGAGTGCCTCCACCTGAGAGGCGAGGAACCAACAGTCTGCACACAAATAAGCTATATCTGTAAAATGGATGTGGACACAAAACTCAAATTCAGGACTTGACAAACAACCAGAACATTCGCTGAAGAACACTAAGAGAAGAAGAAGATAATTTTTAAATATAAAATTAGAAAAAATAAAGGACACCTGTCACAGGCACAAGACATATAGTGCTAGAACTATATGTGTATGTATGGACAATCAGCACTTGATGGGCAAGACATATAGTGCTAGAACTATATGTGTATGGACAATCAGCACTTGATGGGCAAGACATATAGTGCTAGAACTGTATGTGTATGGACAATCAGCACTTGATGGGCAAGACATATAGTGCTAGAACTATATGTGTATGTATGGACAATCAGCACTTGATGGGCAAGACATATAGTGCTAGAACTATATGTGTATGGACAATCAGCACTTGATGGGCGAGACATATAGTGCTAGAACTGTATGTGTATGGACAATCAGCACTTGATGGGCAAGACATATAGTGCTAGAACTATATGTGTATGGACAATCAGCACTTGATGGGCAAGACATATAGTGCTAGAACTGTATGTGTATGGACAATCAGCACTTGATGGGCAAGACATATAGTGCTAGAACTGTATGTGTATGGACAATCAGCACTTGATGGGCAAGACATATAGTGCTCAGCACTTGAGAACTATATGTGTATGGACAATCAGCACTTGATGGGCAAGACATATAGTGCTAGAACTATATGTGTATGGACAATCAGCACTTGATGGGCAAGACATATAGTGCTAGAACTATATGTGTATGGACAATCAGCACTTGATGGGCAAGACATATAGTGCTAGAACTATATGTGTATGGACAATCAGCACTTGATGGGCAAGACATATAGTGCTAGAACTATATGTGTATGGACAATCAGCACTTGATGGGCAAGACATATAGTGCTAGAACTATATGTGTATGGACAATCAGCACTTGATGGGCAAGACATATAGTGCTAGAACTATATGTGTATGGACAATCAGCACTTGATGGGCAAGACATATAGTGCTAGAACTATATGTGTATAAACAATCAGCACTTGATGGGCAAGACATATAGTGCTAGAACTATATGTGTATGGACAATCAGCACTTGATGGGCGATGTGTTAAACGTCAAGCCAGCAGACTTCTCTTCCCAGGATATTACCTGGTACCTGTTTTTGGCTTGGTCAACATGGGAGTCATGGACAAGTTGGGGAAGGGGGGGGGGGGGGGGTGGGATATCCAGATTTTTAGATGAAAGTTGTTGAAATATTATTTAAACCACTTTAATACTTCTTTGTATAGCCCATGCCATGTGGTGTTGGTAGTCATGTCTGTCCCCAGCCTTCTGTCTCAGGTACTTTCAATCAGTTCTGATACAGATGATCCTCCCTGCCATAATGTTTAACTGTCCAGCATCTTCTTTTTCTCTCAGTCTTCCTCTGCCTCTTTTCCCCTGCAACTTTCTCACCGTTACAATGTACTCCAGTTGTCTCCTGCTCATGACACGACCAAAGAATGCAGACTATCTATTTCTGATGTGAGAAATCAGTTCACTTTAATACAGTGGTTCTCAAACTTCCCAATGCCGCGACCCTTTAATACAGTTCCTCATGTTGTGGTGACCCTTAAACATGAAATTATTTTTGTTGCTACTTCATAACTCCAGTGAATATGTGTTTTTCGATGGTCTTGGGCAACCTCTGTAAAAGGGTCGCTCAACACCCACAGGGGTCGCCACCCACAAGTTAAGAACCCCTGCTGTAATATTATACATCACATATGCTTATTCTGTCCTTTAACACTCATTAGAGCCCAAAATTTAAAAGAAAAAGGTAAATAACCCATCTCACACCATTGCCATATATACAGCCAGACACATATCTGACTGCTTTCTTGTCTATAAAGATGTGGCTAACACCATAAGCATTTATTCATTATCCGGTTGTGCTAGTACATGTCCCATAGGGCTTACACAATATCCTGTTGTGCTAGTACATGTCACATAGGGCTTATACAATATCCTGTTGTGCTAGTACATGTCACATAGGGCTTACACAATATCCTGTTGTGCTAGTACATGTCACATAGGGCTTATACAATATCCTGTTGTGCTAGTACATGTCACATAGGGCTTACACAATATCCTGTTGTGCTAGTACATGTCACATAGGGCTTACACAATATCCTGTTGTGCTAGTA